TTGTTTGTAATGACGAGAGAAGGTCTCGAGCGAAGAGCTCCATCATGGCCAGACGGGTCTCGAACGCCGCCGGCTTGGAGGGCTTGTCGGCATTATGTGTCGCGAGGAGCAATAAGAGACGGGAGGGCTTGTGGGGATTTTCTAGAAGAGCGGAGGTCGCAATTCGGCTGTGGGCAAGGGTTGGCGGGTTGAAGGACGAATCGAGGACGTACAGAACGTCAGTGGATGAGATGGGATCCTGGCGCTCGGAGGGGACAGAGGCCAGAACCTCCAGATTGCGGGTTGATGCAATGAAGAGTCTGAGGCCCGCAGCGTACTTCTCGCGTAGGGCATGAAAGGCGGGGCTCGTCATGCTGGGATTAGATGAGTTATTCTGGCGTGGTCAGTGTGACAACTCATAGAGTCGAGTATGTATGTATGTATGGTAACATCAAGAACGATAATGATGATGATGATAATGTCAATGATGCCCAAGGCTGGTCACGTCAGAGGCCGACAGAAGAGGTGGGGTTGTGGACGGGAAGCATCCATGGACGTTGTTGGACGAGGACCCTTTGGTGCGGGTGGCTGCAGGACCCGGACTTTGCTGGGTATACCGCCAAATACAGTAGACAGATACTATGTAGTATCTAGAGTAGGTATGTATGTAGCATGTACGGCTTATTGGCGACGCTTCGAGACCCTAAACCCACACGGCAGAGAAACACGAGCCGATATTAAGGCTTTATCTCATTGCCCATACTAAATGGTGGATGGCGGTCTGTGAGCTATCCTCGATGGGATCGTAACACTTAGATTAAAGCCGCGATGATCACAATCAGGGACTCGGTGCTCCGTAGGCTGGATGTAGTAGTCTAGACGGACCCGGTAAGCCGGAATGTTCTGGAGTCTGGATGTCTAGATTAGGGTCAATGGTGGTGTGTTCCTTGTGTTCTCGCTAAATGCCGCTTATTCCGGAGTGTTGGTTAATGGTTTATTACCGGCCGCGCTCAGTGGAGTCTCCAGTGACTTGGCCAAGTACTCATCAGGGGTAGATAGATACTCCCTACTTATGCCCAGGATGTGATTGTGACATTCCAAGTATCAACAGAAGAAATAGAGTCTAGCTTACGAATGAGTGGGAGCTCATACGGAGTTAACTACTGAAATGGTGTGACTGGCCAGGACTGGAGCTCTCCGAGCTTTGAGGGCTAGCCGATAAGAACCGAAGACGATCATCTCCTAGTCGATGGCGCACAGTGAAAGCGTGTTCACGGTTCAGGCAACCATATACTTTGGCCCTCATCAGCTTGAAACGCTGGCGGCCGTGGTTTCCCCAGCTCCGGTCAGGGTCAAGAACCAAGAACAACCTCAGAGCTTTGCTTTCATCTGTTATCACCACCAGTGCCAATATCCCGCACCACACAATATAATTTATATCCCGGCCTTCTTTGTGCTTGGATCACTGCCAGTAAGTTAATCAACCGATATGATCAGTCTTTGTTCTGGGAGAGAATCGCCGGTGTCTAGACCCCCCATGCTGGCTCCACTCGGTCTGCACCTACCACCCACGCCTCGTAGGCCCAAGACCATCGCCGCGCAGATTTTCTTGATCAACCCTGTCAAACGATGCTGGCGCGCCCACCGACGGAAATGATATCGGGATTGTCGATATACTGAGCCTCCTTGGGGACTTCTTCCTCTCCCTCTTCTCCATAGTTCGTGTTGAGAAAGGACTCGGCTCAGACATGAGTCCCTTCGGTTACAAAGCGTCTCACGCCATCAGCACGAGAAGTCTTAGCTCGGAGTCAAAGCCACTAGGCTGTATCATTTTAGCCCCTTTGATGAAGCATCGTTGACTAAACCACTGTAAGAAGCTTGGGGGTGTTGGCAATGAGCTCGCTAACTGTATGGTGGAATGAGGATAGAGCTTGGATCCTTCTCGACTCATCATGCCCCTTTTTCTTACTTTGGTTCTCCATGTCTCCAGAATGCTGTGTAGAGTGTATACGTTGCCCAGTTGCGTGAATGGAGGATGTCATCTCCGCACGGTCAACTAGTGAAGGTGATAGTAAACAAATCCACAGCGGATTGTTGATTAAAGCGTGTCCACCAGTAAATTACGGTAATAACAATTCCGCGCCGGCCCATTAATGAGGTTGAGTCAAGCGTGGCGGTTGAACATACGATTGTCGGCGGCTGTTCCATGGATGCTTCGTTTGAGGACCGACGGGAATTACCAGATCCGGGCAATGTTGACAACCCACACGATCGACGTTGTTGTTATTGTTGTTGTTGTTTCTTTTATTTCTGAACCAGAAACAAAAGGGCCCTGAAATAGTCCCTGAAGGGGGCGGTAACAGCTTACCGACACATCCTTCTCAGACAACCTGTGCGATCCTCATGCACGCTGGCTGTTGGTCTGGCAGCGACAGCACAGCGAAGGACTAGTGCTATCCGTATTAGGCAAAACGAGGGGGAGTAAAGAAAAAAGTCGAACAAGACGGAAGCCGTGCGGTTGGCCCGTTTGGACAGGCACAATGAGATTAAGCTGGCAGCCAAGCACCAATGAGAAGAGGCGGTGAGGGGATGAAACGGGGCTTCATCTCCAGTCCAGCTAATCCGCGTGTGGTTCCTGCGCCGGAGACCCACTCGGGACTGAGGAAATTAAAATTAAGATCAATATCAGGAGGAGGGCAGTGCGTGTTGATTGGCTGCAGGGTTATCAACAACTGGGCACAGCTGCACGCCCGACACCACCTCGTTCGGCCAAGATGAGACATTAGCGCCGTATGGGCGAATCTTCCAACACTCGCCCACCAACGGGCATCTCGCATCTGTTCCATACGACGTTGGAGAAAATACGGTGCCTGGTAATAGCGCGTATCGACGGGCTGCAGGGATCCCGAATTGAATGGATTTAATCAAATTTCGATATTACGGCGTTCTCCTTTAGGTTTCCCTTTTTCTGACTTTCTTTCTTTTCCCCCCGGGTCTTTTTTTCCTTTAAACTCCTTCACTTTCTTCCCGGGCCTCCAAAAAGTCTCTCGTCAGACTGCTACATTCTCTCTCCTTTTCAACCTCTCTCTGCGAGAACGTTGCGACCTTCCTTCTTGCGTCCAGTCACTCTTTCAACCTTGCTTTGATTTACTTGCGAATAGATTTCGCATCTCACTTTCGTTGAGAAAACCACCCCCCGCAGTCTCTACCAAATAACCCAAGAACGGAATATCTCTCCCATCTACTCGGACTTCTTCGAACCTCCACCATCAATCCTTCACGATGCAGCTTACTTCCAAGGTTTCCATCGCCCTGCTGGGTGCTTTCGCCGCCGTCGGTGAGGCCAACAACCACGGCTTCCATGCGCGCCAGATGAACTTCCACCCTGGTGGCTACAACAACCAGACTGTGTCGACCTCCGTCGTCCCCGTCTACCCGACTCCGGAGCACTCCAGCGCTCCCGTTGCCCCCAGCGCTCCCGCCAGCTCCCCCGCCGGAGTCGCTGCTAGCTCCCCCATCATCGGTGGTCACTATGCCAGCAGCTCCAGCTCCGCTGCTGTTGTTGGTGCTTCCTCTGTCGCTCCTGTGCCCGTTCCCCTCGGCACTGGTGTCTCCAGCAGCGCCCCCGTCTCCGCCCCGGCTGCTGCTGCTACTGGTAGCAACGGTGTTTCGACCGAGTACGACACTGTGACTTCCACCAAGGATGTCACTCTCACCTACACCCTGGGTTCTGGTTCCACCGAGAGCGTCGTCACCACCACTATCCACCGCACCGTGACTGACGTCGAGACCATCTACGTGGTATGTTATGGAAGCCCGTTCTGGAAGCATGAAGAAGGATGTATACTAACGGATATATCATAGACCCCCTCTGCCAGTGCTTCCTCCACTGCCCAGGACACCACCGTCACCTCTGACACTACCGTCTACTCAACCTCCACCGACTACGAGACCTACACTCTCTACGCGGTCCCTACTTCTTCCGCTGCCGCTGGTAGCTCCGCCCCCGCGGGCTCTGCTGCCGCTGGCGAGACCTGTGCTCCGGTCACTGTCACTGTCCACGACACCGTCACTGTGGTATGTACCCACTTTGAAACCAAGCTGTCGGTTTGGACCCCTTACTGATGCATTGCAGACCGCCACTCCCACTCCCATCTCCACCCCCGACAGCGTTGCCAAGATCGAGGTCAGCTCTGTGTCTACCAGTGAGGAGGTTGAGACCACCACCCAGGCCGAGGCCACCACCCACAGCAAGCCCACCGTTGTCCCCACCTCCAGCGCCCCTTACGGCCACAGCAACGGCACCTTCCCTTTCCCCAGCGGCGCTGCCCGGCCCACCGGCTTCCAGACCAGCAGCAAGGTTGCTTTCCCCTCTCACTTCCGCCGCGTCTACTAAAGCCATGATTGAATTGAATTTGACTGCTTCGGGTCACGAGCTTGACGCCACGCCTGTACTGAGATTCCCAATCGTGGCGTAAAAAAGCACACGCTGGCACTGTACCTACGAGAGGATTTACTGTTTTGCTTCTGGTACAAACTTACTCAATTTTTTTGACTTTGGATTGGCCGTCTTCGTCCATCTTCAACCTAGACTTTACTTCTCTTCCCCAATTTCCTCCTCCCCAGGGATGGGTAATTGGCTTTTCTTCTTTTCATCTGGGATCTGTCGATTCCACCGCTTAACGAACAAAGCTCTTCTTCTTTCAATTTCTCTTTCTTCCACGAAACCTTCTCGTGAACCTCTCGGACATGAATCTCGGGATGTCAGGCGATGCGACATCAGGCGAGTTGACCCAGCAGGTGGCGAAGGCGTCTTAGCGGGTACATCGGCTCTCTGTACATTTTGTTTTGTGTGTGTTTGCAGTAGATATTTCTCTCAAGATGATGACCTTGATTACGAAGCGATTTTGTTAGTCGAGCGAATGACATTCGTCTATTGCCACCTACTCCCCTTGTAGAAGTAAATACCTATACTAGTATTATAAACACATTCAAAGTAAACATTATGAGTATGATATTAATCATAAGTTAATCCCCCCATCCCTAACAATCTTCTCCCTCATCCTCTGCCACTCCAACCAAGTAACCCCCTGTACAAGACAATCCGCCAAATCATCCAACTTGCCAATATCCATACTATCCTCCCCATCCTCCCCATCTGCCTTCTTTATCCGCCGTTTCCCTTCACACTTCTCCAGGAACGATTTCGCCAATTTCCTCACCTCATCATCACCTATCATTACCCTCCTACCCTCATCCCCAGCCCCATCCCCAACAGCAGTAGCAGAATCAGAACTCAGCGACGATAACCACCCCCTCACCAACCCAATCTTCATCTTCTTTACATCCCTCACATTCTTCCTCTTCTTCGTCTTCTTCACCACCTCACCATCCCCAATATCCCCCGCTTCCTCCCCCTCCCCCCAAAACCGACTCACCCTCCCCGGCTCAACCGGATACACCTGCACCTTCCCACCCGAAGAAGAAAAAAGTCCAGAAGAATTAACCGTCTCAAGAACCGCATACAACATCCCCTCCAGCACACCAACCCTTATGGTCCACTCCTGGACCGCAGACCCGCCTCCCGTACGGAACCGCTGTCTTTCAATTAGAATGTGGGTGGGGTTATATGTAGACAGGAGGGTCGTGATGAGGGTGTATGCGTGGCGGGCGTAGAGACTGGGGGAGAAGTCTTCTTTTGCCTTTGCTTTTGTTTCTTTTGATTTTGATTTGGGTTTGGGTGTGGTGGGGAGGATGAGTGATGCGGGTCCTTCCTGATCATGGTGCTGGGGGTGTTGTGCATGGCACAGATCAGGAATGGAGAGGCGTTTCCATGCGGTGAGGGTAATGGTATTATTTTCCTCTTTGCACTTAGATTTGTCTTTGGGTGTACCTGTCTCGGATGAGACAGTTGATGATGAAGAGAAAGAAGATAATAAAGGAGCATGCAACACAGCGAACGCCAAATTGCGAATCCCCATATCAATGCTTAGGAGTCTTATTCCATCATTATTATCACTCCTCTTCTTAGTGTGCTTCTTCGGAGCACCATCATTCTCAGCATCATACTGAGTACGAAGAGGTATGATCAACGGGGCAAGTTCCCCCTCTAACCTCTCCACCAATACCGCCTTGGTGCCTGAGCTCTGAATCCCCGTTCTTTGGGCTATTTGTTGCAGGGCTTTTGCTTTGAGGGGGCGGAGCCAGGGGTATTTCATTTTATTCTTTCTTCAAGATCGTTCTTCTTTCTTTATATCTTCTTCGGGGTTTGATGGTTGTTTGGCTGGGGCTTGGTTGGGTTTCTGGTACTACGCTAGTAGTAGTCCCAATTAATTTGGTTGGCTGCTTGTTCTGTTGGTGGATTTGGCGAGGGGTCACGGTGATGGTTGTATATTTGACAGCGTGGAATATATATATATATATATATATATTAGAGTGAAATATAAGGCCGACCCGAGAATAATTATTACTATGCGTTTGTTGTGAATTAAAGGTTGTGAGGATAGATCATTGGATATCAAAGAATGGAGCGGAGTGGATGTTAATGTTAAATCTATATCTATGATCTACTCCGTAGTTAACTAGTGTTTGATGTGCCGGTGGTTTATGAATGATAGATTACATAATATAATATACAGTGCACAAAATACCAGCATATCATCGAACTCTACATTTTATCTAAGAGTAATACATCTTGAGTAACCATAAATTGTCAAGTTGCCAAAAAGCATCCCACCATTCTTAGCATATCGCACATCTCTATCCTCCGTTTTCCTTCGAATGCCCGAAACCCAACACCAGGCCCATTAAACAGTATGAAGTAGTATATATGCCCTTCCCCATGTGGACGCCAAACCAATCAAAAGAACCATGCATGAAACTCGCTGAACTGCAATCAATAATCCAAGATCAAAACTCCGCGTAGTAATCCCATATCAAGAGTACATCAGAAGAAGAGAACCCTCAGAAACCAAAAAGCAAATAAGGCGATGAATTACAGGGTGGACGAGCGCGCCACGTCAGTGACCGTTCTCGTGTTGTTCGCCACGTCAATCGGTGACACACTCTCGCGCATGTATAGAATCGGCGCCCAGACGTTCCAGTGTAGCACGCCCATGTGTGCAAGGCGCATGGCGATTCGCTCGATGTCATAGTGCTGTTGTGTTAGCGACGAGGGCGGATAGTTGCGCTGCGATTCGCAGATCGCCAGGGGTGACATGCTCATGTACTTCTTCGCCGTCGTGAACGTCGCTGCTAGTAGCTTCTCGCGAAGAGAGCTCTGGAAATACTGGAACAAGTTGGATGGGCTCGAGAGGTGGCATTCCAGTGCCATTTCTATTTGCACAATGACATCGTCCGAGACCGACCCGTCTTGGAAGCACGCGGCGCATGCAAATCGTGCAATCTCCAGCGCGATGCTCCGTACGCTTTTCAGCCACCGAGGATCCCCTCGAGGGTAGTCTTCGTTCTCTTCCATCAGCGATCCGATGCGGGTGCGGAAAGTAGCGTATGTTTGCGCGGGCGCCGAAAGATACCGTTTCTGTGCGTTGATGTACGACTCGAAGATGAACCAGCAGATATCAAGGTTGATCAGCTTTTGGAGACAAGATCGCAGCTGCCGCAGCCGGTCCGAGTCGAAAACGAACGTTTCAGGGAGCTTGTCTGGTCGCCGGTACTGCAGAAGAAAGTCGGTGATGCCACCAAACAACAGAGAGATGGGCCAGAACCCGTCCATCTGGGTAGGTTTCGACATGCGGCACAACTCTCGATCGCGGAGGTCCAGATACCACTGTCGCGATGTTTCCACACAGAAATTGTCCCTCTCGATCTTGCCTCGGAAATACTCCTGTAGGAACGGAACGGTGTCTTCAATGAGCAATACACGGAAAGCACGGATTTGGTGATTGGCAACATCCTAGAGACACATTAGCAATTCCATCCAATATGCGTGGCCGCCAAGCCCAGCATGCCCAATCCTTACCAGTTTCATCGCTTCCAAGATTGCGAACAGTGTTTTGAGCCCTTCGACAATTTGGTGCGAGTTTTGCGACTCCGACCCTGACCGTATCTGCTTGACCATCTTATCTGCCCATTCATCGCGCATAGGAGCGCAGTGTGTCTTGAGCAAGGCCGCCAGCCAGCTTGCCACACCCACCATATCAAGTACGCCCTTCTGGATTTGTTGCATCAGGAGTGTTACCTCGAGATTTTGTACCACAGCCGGATGGTCCCGCTCAGGGACGAGCGTTTTCAGGACGTCTTGCAAGGTTTCGAACATGGCGGGTAGCCGCGGTTCAAAGGTCCGCGATAGATTATCTGAGATTCCAACATTGTCTGTCCCGTTCGTCTCTTGTGCGGCACCGAATGCATATATAGCGATCTCATCAGCCATAGCCTCCCAGTAGTCGTGGGCCTCCTTTCGTTTCCGTTCGCCTTTTTCTCCCTGCAGGTCAGGTTTAAAGTGAAGATCACGGTCAAAGTTGGCGTCCATTCGGAGGTTAATGTTGCTCATGATACAAGGCAGGTCCAGTTCACTAAGCGTACTCTTGGTCACTGGCGGATACCTTTTAGCAGCTAGTAGCCGTTGATGTTGTTCCAAGCTGAGTGGCAGGGCTGGGGGAATGTGCATTGCTCGTGCAGACGGCGCCAGAACCCGTGTTGCCATCTGGATAGGCGACGGAAATGTTGGGGCTACACCATCACGGTAGGTATATTTACCCGGCTGGCGTCGCTGGTGCATATTCGCGGAGTCTGGGGGGCTCTTCGCATCGCGATGGTGGTCCAGAGAGTCATTCTTGGGCGAGTCCTTCGCATGGCCACTGCCTCCATATGCTTCCAAGGGGCATTCGGAGTTTTCTTCCTTCTTGCTCGGCGTATCTCGCCGGGCGTCCTTCGTTTTTTGGAAGTCCATCTCCATCCGATCTTGCCAACGCCCAGAAAGGGTTCGGAGCAGACGAGGTAGGAGAAACTGCACCAGTCCAGGAAGAGAGATGGTCTGGGGTAGACTCGGAAGAATGGATAGATGAAATCTGGAGACAGCGATTAGAACGTGGGGATCACGGGCATTTCCTGGGCGATAGGACGCAAGGCACCGGAAGCCCTATACTCGACGGCGGGTTCGGATTGGGATCCCTTCGCAGCGACCCTGCGAACAGTCCTTGCCTGCGGTCGACAGGAACCCAGGTGAGGGAGGGAGAAATAGTACGCACCCGAGGTTAGTCAACGACGTCGATCGCCAATGCCGATCATAAAACGGGCAATCGTGGATGCCGGGCTTGTCAAAATAGTGTTTCGATAGTAGTAAGACCCTAGGTGAACCTTTCGGGATTGGGGCCAATTTCCTTGTTTTGCGAATCGGAATTTCAGTTTCCTCCTTTCTCTTTTCCTTTTCTTCTTTCTTTTACTTTTTTTTTTTTTTTTCCCTCACTGTTTTTTCTCTTATCTGCGTCTCCTTGCCAAGTCAAAAAGCTCGAAGAAACCGGCCGGGCACCAGATGAAACTGGGTCGAGGACCGTCGCAGGCAGCAAAGAGATATGAAAGGAACAAGGTCCAATGGCTACGCGACAACAACAAGAAAAGAGATCACCGTAGCAAACAAAGGTAGTTGGCAGAGTGAAGTTCAATGGCGACAAGAGAAGCAGTAGACAACGTTGCTCTGACAAATCGCGTCCAACCAGGTTGACAAAGAGACCGGGATATCAGTTGTAATGATATAGCCAATGACGAGGAGGGGAGATAGGCATGCAGGTTCAGTATACTCTATACTACTAAGTATGGAGTACTTAGTAGTAACGGTGTTCAGAGCCTGAGGAGAAGGATGGCCCTGCACGTTATCAAATTTTAAGGAAGGAGGGTTTACAAGCCCGCAGTAGGTTGGACACACGAGCCACCAGACGGAGAGCTAAAAGGAAAGAGAAGGAGTGCGGCGCAGTAGCATCGCAGTAGATAGGGACAGAGAAGGGGAAAAAAGACAGAGAGTGCGTGCGAGAGAAAGAGAGAAAGAGAAAGGTTAGAAGACAGCCAGCATGCGACTGACTAGTCAGAGGCACCCACTGCCTTTTGCAGGAGCGCTGCGAAAAGTGAGGCTGATCTAATCTAGACGCTTGCAGCAGCTACGAACTTTCCGGGGCGCTGTTTCGCACCTGGGAACGGGCACCGAGGGAAAGGGAATTTTGGAAACGTTCAGCGAGTCGGTCCAGTGATCCCTAGTCACATAGTGGATGACGTGGGATGCTTGGAGGGGGGGATTTCCCTTTTCTTAACTGGGTTCGTTCTGGCAGGCGAGTGGGTAAAAAGGATGGGATCAGATGAGGATCAGATGGGGATGGGATGGGATCACTGCTGCGCCGTGAGCCTGCTTCTGATCCTGATCCGTTCGTTCATTCCTTAACGGCCGCGCGAGGGCGCAGAACGAAACTCAAATCTCACCACCAACAATCCCTGCTGGCTTTTTGCCAATATTTTTTACTCTTTTCCCCCTCCCTTCCCCTCCGCCCCCAGCAGCATTCCTCAGCAACAACAGGAAACCCCCCCGGTATCGTGTACGATCTCAAAATCCGGGCGTGTGCCGGTGCCAATGCTGGTACCCGGCCATTGTGGGAGTGAATCCGGTCCTGACTGTCCCTTACCATCGGCGCCGATGTGATAGGGAGGCCGTCCCCCCCCCAGAATCCCAATCATGCGTTCAGCGACAGGCGCCACCAATCCCTCTGGTCAGGATAGGATATATTCGGCCAGGAGGAAGGTGGGAGATCGTCGAAAAAGAAACGAAATAATTTAGGTCAGTGTGCAGAAGGGGCCGGACACAAGCACGGAGTATACATGCACCTCTTTACCCAGAGGGCATTCGGTGTATTCCCACTTGAATAATGTGCAGACAGCCAGAGGGACGATGCAGCCTGCCGTCCCCGGTGTTCAGATCAATTTGGGCCACGGATCCATCTTGATCCGGCTTCTTGTTAAGGGTGTATTGCTTTTTCTTCTCTTTTTCTAATTCTTACTTTTTCTTCTCTTTTCTTCTTGTTGCCTTTTTTTTTTTCTCCTTTTTGCTTCCCATTTTACCTTTTGTCCTGGGAGTAGTAGAAACCAGGGCAAAGCAGGGGGCATCCGGGCATTCCAGCCCTTGATGCATCCAGAAGTACTCCCGAAGCTATCCTTGCGATGGACTGTCTTCGTCATCGTCGACATACTGAAGAAGATCGGGATATAACTCTGTCAGGACATCCATGTCCGCTCCGATCAGATCATTCCAATTCCTTCCTCCGTTCTGATTACTCTTTAGTGGCCTTTCTCCCAAAGCGGGAAACAGTCCGCCAACGGCTCTATGCGACACCGACCATTGCTAGACAAGGCCATCCCCGTCATGCCATCCGGATTGACCTCGTGTTGTGAATGGTACATTCTAGTCGCCTGTACCCTGTCAGGTACAAATTAATTGTCCCTGTGCTCTGCGCGCCTCCAGCGCCCCTACTGTACAATGATGCTGCCTCTCCGAAGAAGATTCTTCCGTTGGTCTGTTTGCGATCGAAGCACTGAAAAATGCTCCATCGAAACCTTAAAGCCCGGTCGTAGGACTCATCGCCTACTTCGTTCTATCGTGTGTGGGATTGACAATGATAGTTTCCGACTGAATTCCGTTTTGGTCCACCGACATTCAAGAACTGCGATTGAGTCTTTCTTTCGGTGACCGCCGACGGAAAGATTGCGCTACAGACCCCTATTCCTTCACCATTGCCGTCTTCCGTTGTAGGGGCAACAGGGGGTGGTGCTAGAGGGGAAGTGGTTAAACCAAGAGCCGTGATCATAGTTTCTTACCTCCCATTGTTTTCCACTTTTCCTTCCTTGGGGTGGGACATGGGGGATGTTAACCGATCCACCCGCCCCTAGCAGATTGATAGATAGAAAAGCCCACTCAAGAGTCTCGGTCGGAGTGGATCTCACACACGCGTGGTGGCATCGGTAGGCCAACCCGAGTCAGCGACAGCCCTGGACCACACCTCCTCCCCAGTCTTAACCTCAATATCAGAATCCGGCCGGGCTTCCCCCCCCCCCTGCAAGTGGGCTCACGCGCGGGATGAGGAATGGACTATTGACTCCGACCGCTCCGTAAGTACTTTGTAAGTGGGAGGAAACTATCGATCGACATCGTAAGATTATTATTTAAGCTCGGAGTCTGCTGAAGGGTAGAATCCTAAAAGACGTGCCAGGGGAGTGGATACACCCAGGGAAGCAGTCGACGAAAACGGAGGGGGAGCAGACAATGTGGCTGGATCATTATCCAAGACCGCGCACGAATAAAGGGGCTTGACTGCCGGCGGTCTTGCGTGCGCTTGGCGCCTCACTTTAGTAGTGCACCGATCACGATGGATTTGACCCTCCAACGCAAACTCGCCTCATTATTCCGGACCTGGTCGGAGAGGCGGCAATTGGAAAGCCAAGCCCGTTTGCAAGCAAGCCGGTATAAAGAGCGGTGATGGTTCAGACCCATTTCTTCATGCCAACCTGCAGGCGACAATCTGAGAAGTGTCCGGCTCTGCACCCTCATTGGCTCCGTGTCTAGTGAATTTGTTTTCTACTCTGATCTTGCTGAAGCGGGGCGGGGAGGCGATGCCGCTTCTCTCCGTCCGCCTGGGAATTATCATTGACAAGGCGGGATGGAATGAGTGGTGGTGGTGAATGGTGACAGGGGAAGGATGACGCCTATGGCTTTTTACTGCTCTCTGGCTGGCTTCCTTTCTATTCCAACGACACCGACTTTTCAGTGGGGTTGTTCGGCCCGTAGTCGCGACGCTTGCTGCATCATCTGAGCTGATGATCCGAAAAAGTGATGCTTCCAATCCGACGATAGGCAGCCGCGAAACCGGCGAGAGTGAGAGCGAATGCAGATGGGATGCCGCTGGATGGATGCGATGCGATAGGCCTAGGACTCGATGGTGATATGGATGATAGGGAAGAAGATTTCTTGTTTGGAGACAATGTTCGATCCCGTGACAGCACCATCGGCCCTAGCCCTGTGCCCCGTGCCCTATGCAGCTTCGAGGGGTTTGCAGGATGCTTTGCTTCTGCTTCTGCTTCATTTTAATCATCCCAGCATGTATACAGGAAGTAACTAGTCTAGGCATTGGTGGAGTGCCTGTCAGTGCTTGTCACTTCTTTCGCGACTAGCGTCCTACGGTTATCCCCACTGCTACAACGTACCATGGTTGACAGGGAAGATTAGTATCTTCCATCCAAGGCTGGCTGGAAACAATATCCGGGCAGTATACGAGCAGAAAGACGTACATATGCCAATTGATTGGTATCTTTGCTCTACCCTCCCCTCCGATCGCTGCAGGACCGACCAATGCCCACTTTACGTTTCGTAATACATGCCACAGGAATTGACATGACTCCTAATCGTTTACTAATAGGTATGACCAGAACGGCCAGTTTCAACAATGCTGGACGGATATTGACTGGACACTATGTCTCATTCTTCTCTAAGTCAAGAGCGAAAAGGCTGTGCAACTTTGCCGAATCTCCATCTATCCTATACATATCGCCTACAACCTCCCCTTACCATTGATTGACTACTATCTACCACATCCCTACAACATATACCATTCTAGAAGATCCAAGATGCCACAAAAAGCTAACCAAAGCCTATCTAAACCCCAAGAGCGCCATCCAGCGGGATCCCATCGTCCCAGCCAAGCCAAATCAAGCCACAGACAAAGACATCATAGTACACCTCTCCCACCCTCTCTCCATCCCCCTTCATCCCTCCTCACCTCGGACACAGATCCCAACCAAACATTACCTCCCAGCCAAGCATTTCATCCTCCTTCATATTCATCTCTCTCCCCTCCTCAGTCAGATCTTGTACAACCTACACCCCACATAACAGGGAATCAACAAACCTCCTACACCCCCCTGCCTACACTTCTCTTCTTCTTCAGCAGCAAACAAACAAACAAACAAGTATCGAATGCATCAACAGCCTGTACCACGGACCTCTACTAAGTCCAAGCACCCCCCTGGATGCAGATACAGCATTGGTAATCGAACTGTATCAGCATCAATAACGCTCTCGCTCGCTTGGATCCCCCCTCTTCCATCCCCGGATGACCGTCGCAATCTCAATCCCCTCCCCTCCCCTCCATTCCATTCTATTCCAAATACACCGTCCGTGCAGATTCTGCAGTCTTGTTTATCCCCCGCATTAGTGCATCTCTATTATGTAGATTGCTACTAGAGATGGAATGTATCATGAGATAAAGGGGGGTTGTATAGATGTCTCAGTATA